ACGCTTTTACTGTTCTGACATAGTGACCCAAAAATATATCATCTAAGTATGTTCCAGTCTTCAGTTAAGGATCGGTATAAATCTAACGATAGATCTGCCAAGCGTCTCATGGTAGTAGGCGTTAATACGTGTCGGAATTTCTATCGAATTTACAAGATCGAATGTTATATATACTAATATGTGTGATAAAGAAATAAAGTTTCCCATTTTGCTCGTTCGATTTTAGGGGGTAATCTTGGGAAATACTGATCCGATCATAAATACATATTATTTGATCTACCTGAAGATCAAATAATTTTTATGATAAAGAGATGTTTTTTTGTTTGCAATGCATAGACTCGGAAACTACTGTACCGATTACAAAATTCTTTCACCAACGAGAAGCTATATCATATGCGGTGAACATACGCTATATTTAATGCTGAAGAACAACAGATAAAGGGATGAAAATGGTAGTGGAAGTTTGTATAGCGAATTAAAACGTTACTGAAGTAACGATTGTTCATTATTCAATTTCTCATGGTAACTATATCCGTGTCATCATATCATATGAATCGATATCCAAATAAACAGTTCTCTAGGGACCACGTGGGCGAAGCCGCTGGCGGAAAGCTGAAGGCTATCATTTACGCGGGTGAAGTCGCGGGTTAACATTTGGTATCATATAAATAGACAGTTCTAACGACAGTTTTATATGAACCGACCTTTTCACGTGATTCTTTTAGCATCTTAAAGTAGTGAACAAACATTGATTTTCACCTAATTTTTTGATACATTGTACATGTTGTATTATATCCTTTAATAAAAGTAAGAGTTAAATTGATGGAGCCCGAGAATGCGAGAGGTCTGGGTGATTAAGAAATCGTCTTAAAAGAGTCCACTAACGGGGCTCTAAAACAAAAGAACTTATTTATAAAGAAAGAATTTCCGTTTACTTTGTCTGTACATACTTGTTGATATGTTGTAATTTAACTATTTAAAGGTCTCACTATGACACATGCATTACTGTGAACAGTATTGCAAGACTAAACCGCAAATTATGAGACGGTGTAAACATATATAAGTAAATGAGTTTAAAGACCATTTAAGTGAGAAAATATTGTTTATTTTTAAGTATAAATTAGCATGTGGCATTTTCGAGCCTCTAAACTATATTACACCAAAAACGTAATAAAAGGAAGAACAAATAAACATACATTCCCATATCTAAAGTTTAAAGATTACCTTAAAATTCTAATTTATAATATGAAAAATAAATTATTCTATTTCATCAATTTTACTAGAAAATATTCTTAATGAAAAATGTGAGATGGGTCGCCCGGATGGCGAAAGGTAGTGAGTTCGAATTCCATCTCATAGTACCTGGTGCAAGTGGATATATTTCATCAAGAATAAGTAAGTTCACAAGAAGTATACCCTTTTTGATTGCAAAATTATTAATTTTATTTTGACCTATTTACTATTCAAATTAAGTCTTGCGGTACCTAAAATTTTGCAATTTTATTGGGTCCTGGCTTGAAAATTTAAATCTGCTTACGTGTAGATGTAGGTACTAATACAATTTAATTGATAAATGGAACGTATATGGCTGCTATTCAATATTTTGATAAAAGATTTAAGAAAATATTTCATTAGAGTCAAATAGTTTCTCTTAAAAATAGTTTTGGTCACTTTATAATACATCAGTCATTCAAGACAATTTTCAGTGAGTTATATATGAATTTTTTGTATTCAATATCTATATAAAACATCTATTTTAACTAACCCTTCTTAAACCTGTACTATACAGCCATAAGAAAGACATCAACGCGCAATCATTATAAACATTAGTAATTATAAATAACTAGTGGACGCCCGCGACTTCGTCCGCGTGGAAGTCGGTATCCCGTGGGAGTGAGAAGTTTTCCCAGTAAAAAGTACCCTATGTGTTATTCTGATGTATAACCTATATTGCTGTAAAGTTTTATCCAAATCCGTCCAGTAGTTTTTTCGTGAAAGAGTAACAAACATCCATACATCCATACTTACAAACTTTCGCCTTTATAATATTAATAGGATTCTCAATGGCGTCAAATAACAATTTTGCAGATAATGAACCTTTTTATTATATTATTTTAACCAAATATAAATTATTGCCAATTTAAATGAATTATCATAAAAAAAATGTAAACCTCATTTGCTCTTACATTAATTACGTATTTTTATTATAGCCTATGTCGTACGCATATGATAAAGCTTCCCGTAGGTTTTTTTAAATAGGTCTAGTATTTTCGGAGCCTATGTAATGCAAACAAACAATCAAATCTTTCCTCTTTATAATATAGACTCAATAAACAGTTACTAGCTGTGGCTAAAATCATTAAACAACATATCGTTTTAAAAGTATATTTTTATAAAAAGATAATCTTATTCTATTCTCAATGAAAACTACTTAAAAATACACTTTATATATAAGCATATAGTATATTGTAGATGCAAGATTGATCAAAAATAATAAGTTAATCTAATATAACTACTCTGATCAATTACCTACATCTATTTAACTGGAAAATAATCATTACATGACTATTTTGAATTGTCTATTTTAAATATTTTAACGTAAAAAATAAACCAGAAGTAATTAAAGTCATAAATAACAAGACATAAACAAATTTCCATTAGTCATTTGGTTTCTCAGTTAAAAGTTTTTAAAATGATTTTTAAAGTTAATTCTATATGACATAACATTGTCAAAGCGACAGTTCCGCGAATTATAAAAAAAATATGACATGCCTTACTACGCCATTGTGATATTCTTAGAATTACTTTTAAAATTTGTATATCATAAAAAGTATGCATATATCGTTTTAAAAGTATATTACCATTCGCTCTGACATTTACCAATTCGTTCTCGATATAAACAAAATAGTAATAGTATTAAATTTATTTAAAAATATTTTCTACAATTTTAAATTCGGATAATAAGCTACAGTGTATTCTGAAATATGTTATAATTAGTTGCGAAAGGTGTAACCTTGAAAATCACGGTTCTTCAGTTCGGTAACTTGAGTTGCATCACTGTGACGCGCACTTGACACTAGGCGCATCCATTGACACACATAAGAGACAAACATAGAAAATTATGATAAACTGTGCTATTTCTTTAAAAATAAATAATATTGTGATTATATTTTATCTAATGTTGGATATCACGGAAAAGATTTACTAATCCAGACATCAAAACCTCGCGTGTAATTACCTAATGGTAATTTAAAATAAATTTCAACTCTTTATTATAAAGCTATGAACTGTACAATAAATATACATCCTGCTTGAAACAATTCGACATTACAATTGTAATCGTTAATAATATTCTACTTCAGATAAAAGTTTGATGACAACGTCTAAATCTGAATAATATGTAATTCATTTCAGTCCGGCATTAATCTGATCAAGAGCGCATATTGATTTGAGGCTAATATAATCGTAAATTGCTTAATTTAAAGTGACAATGAAAACATCTTTATTTGTCGGTAGAATGGTTCCACGAATGCTGAAAAAAGGAGTATATTGTGTTCAGGGTTAATGTATGTGCTCTCTATTCCATAATTTATGAAAGACTTAACGGATATTAGTGTATATGATATCATTAGAAACTTTTCATCATCCCATGTTACACTGGCTTTTTAAATATTCAATATGGCGGATGCATGACGTCATTTAAAATTAAAAACTATGAAAAAATAATATCTATTCAATTATAACAATACGGGTATATAATTAAAGATCTTGATTCTCGAATTTGCTTTGTGTTTCTATCCTGGACGTTTTATTGAACTACTTATTAATTTTACTTGTTATTTTATTTATTTGTTTGTTTATGTATTATTATAAAATATATAGGGATTTTTAACGAAACTAAATATGGAAATTATCGTTGCTAAAAATTAAAACGCAAATTATCGCGCTATTTAACGAAACTGAGAGTAAACCAATTAGAAGTAAGAACTTGATTGTATGCATTGAGCGGCGCAATGAAATATGGCTCGCTCGACGGGGGTGTGGAACGAATTGAAAACGTATTAGGTACATTTAATCTATTGAAGAGATGAGGTTATTTTTTATAGACGATCCGTTATAATGTACCCATATATCAGAATTAAATCAAACCAGTGAGCTATAATCTAGCGTCGATATGGTTAATCCAACTCTCGGTTGCAGTTTTATGCGCGGGTAAGTGATAATATTTGGTAATTTTTTATTAAATCAACTTCAAAAGAGTGAACACATGGCTGTACGTCAAGTTACCAGAATTTGACAAATTTTCCGGTTAATTTTAAACGCTATTCTCAAAACATTAGGTTTAAAATCAAGTGGAAAAAAATGACAGATTTGTATAGCCTAGCGTGCTGTTTACTGTACAAGAAACTTCTATTGAAGTTGGTTTTACATAAAATACATCATGGCAGACCTTGGTAAAATTACCTTGGTTTAAGGATTAAATTTAAATTGAAGATTTGATAGTTTTATAATATTTTTCAAACGTTAGTAATTTGAAATATTTTTTCAATGTATTCACAAAATAATGAAAACGAACCTTTTGTAATATTGTTTGAATTAAAAAGTATATATTAGAAAGACTTTCAGCGAGTTGCACAAACGTCAATTAAAAAATTAATTAGTTTAAAGCGACATTACACATACAAATTTAACATTAATTAGAGCTTAAAGTTGTCATTAAACATTATGGGCGTATGTGCAACTGACCGTTTATATTGCAGAACACAGAAAGACGCCATCATATGATGTTCATTAGAAAAAATATTAGAGACCAGTATTATATACGTAATTATCGGTTTACACTAAAATCCACTTTCAAAAGTATAGTTAAATAAACTATTTTTGAACAAATTTAAAAAAATACACATGTTCATGTCTATGACAATTATTGATGATAGAATTCTGCGTTAGAAAAAAAGAAGAAAACATTATGACTACTAAATTAAATATAAATAACTTACCAAAAGAAATGTTCTTATGTGGAAACCCAATCGCCTCATTTTCAATGTCATCAGGAGTCAAGAATTAGAAATAGTCGTGCCTGTAACAAAATTCATATTGTATTTTTAATTGACTTCAAAAAATAAGGTTCCCAATTCGACTGTACGTTTTTGTATGAATGTTCTATGATGTCTTCATCAGTAGTGGATTGATTCTGATGATTATTTTAAAAACAATTAATATGGATTATTGAGATACCATCATCTCATTTGTTAGTTTTGTTAAGGATTATTGAGAAACCATCATCTCATTTGTTAGTTTTGTCTTTATATAAAAATACGAACAAACTACTTCGTTTAATATTTATAGGTAGCTATATCTTGGCTATGTCATAGTCACTAAAAGTCTATGTACTTTTTTTTACTAAAACCGACTCCAAAATATTAAAAATTCATTTGCAGTAAAATACATGCCCACCAAATTCAGCATACAATATATTATAACTTAATTCTCATACATTTTGGTACCTCATTACCTTCGAAAACTATGACAGACTAAATCTAAATTAGTAACTTAATAGAGTGCAATAAAATTAATATTTAAGGTTCCGTAATCCGAATAGAAAAACGTAAACTTTTATAGTATCACTCGCGTGTCTGTCTGTCCGTCCAACTAATAACTGAACAGATTGACATGAAATTTGGTACTTATATGTAGGTTGGTGATCCAAGAACAGTGACGTAAATAAACCAATTTTTAACAGATAAGAACACCTCAGTTACATTAAGACCTATTTATACATCCTTTTATTAAGTAGTAACCAATATTTTTTAGTGTACATTCTGAGAACTCTATCTAATAATATAAAATTACTGTGCCAATGAAAAAGTCGCATATAAATTGTTTTTAATTTTCTAAAGAGTATAAAACTGTTTTAAAAAAATAGTCATTGGCTATAAGTTACAGCGCTATTTGAAAGAAGTGTCTTATTCTACAGCGCTGACGTCAAATCTTCAGCGGCTTTGAAATATCTACGTCACAGAGATGGCTTACCTGATATAGCATACTCGTGATTGACCCTGACCGCTGCTCGGGGAATTTTTAGTCAGTCTTCTTCACGCTTTTCCCACGGACAGACGGTAGGAAACTTTAGGTAATTCCGACTTTTTGGAAGACAATGTTTGTTGAGATTAAAATAAAAAATATACGCAAGATAATATTTATGCGGCATTAATTTGACATGCATGGCGGATGCTCAGCACGGCCGCGTTCAAGTTACGTTTTGGTTTTGTACAATTAACAGCATATCAAGTTGTACGTATATGATAATATTCTGTAAATTGCAATTTTTTTAATTTCATGTTAACTCTCACTTTTTGTGTACATGGTGTGAGTTTTAAGATATGTCTAAACAAACGAACAGCTTATTAAACAAGGGCTAAATAAGCATTTTTCAAATATTCTTAGTCTTATATAGATAGTGGTTTACAATATTGTCAATTTATTTTTATGGTATGGTATATATTTTGTGGAGATTTGAAAGCTGGCGAATGACTTAGATTACTTTAAAAAAAAAATGTTTTAGCCAATATTATTAAAATTTAACTAAGAATTGGCAAAAGTTTAGTTGGTTAGTACAACGTCCATTAATTACAAAACTCAACAAAACCGGTACTAAATAAAATAATTAAAGTACACTAATTAAATTCATAAAATTATCGCACGTTACTTATCGCGAATCCGTCTCGAAACAACAGATTTATATAACGCTAATATCAGGTCGTGAATCATCCTCCTACACAATAGCACTCATATTGAATTTCACCCGACAATGGACATTTACACACCTCTATTCGCAAAGAGGTAAAGGTCATTTTCCATTTGACCAGCACAATAAGCGCGAGCAGAGCAATAAAACCGTTTTTATTTCGCAGCTAAACTTAACAATGAGTCGATTTCTTAACCGGCAGATGAACTGTTATGTGCCAAAACAAAGTTTCGTGATGTTTCCCACAGTCACAATGGATCCTGCAATTTACTTTTATGTTATGTAAAAATATATGTTTATGTGACACAAGAGGTTTAACGTCTCGCTTAAATCGCTTAATCATCACTCGGATCTGTAATTATGTACGCCCATCTGCTCTACTATAAATTGTGTTTTCTTTTTTTTCAGTTTTGAGAAGATTCTTAGTGTTTTTAAACTAATACTAATGCCATTTAACGTGATATGATAACCTGTCAGCTATTTTTGGTAAGCGCTTTTTATAAAAAAAAAAAATCTTAATTTGACTTTTGTCACTTTTATTGTTATTAATCTGCTATCTTGTGTTGCGTTGAAGTATTTTAGAGATAAGATTTTATTGTTTGTTTGATTACATAATGGCTCCGAAACTTCTAGACCGATTTAAAATATTCTTTCACCTACGGGAAGCTACATAATATGCTGTAAACATAAGCTATATTTTATTACGAAAAACAACAAATAAAGGAATCAAAATGGGTGTGGAAGTGTGTATAGGGAATTAAAACGTTTCCATAGTAACAATTGTTTACTGTTGAATTTGTTATTGTAATTTGCCAAATTAATTTTTAAATTGAATTCTAAGCTTTGATTAACATATGGTCTATTTTTATCCCACTAAGCATTTCCCTAGGTACCCCTGGTGGGAGGAAGCTATTAAAATATATTTTTCTAACTAATTTATATATATTTATTTATTAAATTACAGACCAAAACCTAAGTTGTCGATTATATCGGTATTCAATATCGATCACTATCCTCGTCAGTCTATTAATGGCTCCATTGCTAGGAGACAGGCCTTCACTATGCACGGAATAGAGAATGGGCCATGACCCACCAACCCAGTGTGGTTATTGACTACAGACACAGTCGGGACCAACGACGGAGCTCGAGATATTAAATTCTTGGTCACCCATCTAAAGTTACTTTACTTTCTTCGTTATTGATAGTTTGCTAAAAAGAGTGTCAATAGGTAGTTCGAAATTATCTCAATAGGTGTCGAAAAAAATGATCATATCAAGTACCCGAGATATCATTCTTAACTCATCCAACTACTCCAGGAGTTAAGTCCATAAAGACAAAATAACGCAATTATTTTTTGATAGAGTTTAGTTGAAGTTAAAAATCCATTATACTGTTAAAGAAATTACCAAAATTGCGAATGATTATGACCTCGGAAACTACTTCGATCACTATATCATCTATACTTATAATAATAATATTAATAAGTGAGAGCTTTGAGCTATTCGGCCATCTTAAATAGTATGCAAATATAAGTATTACAATTATGACGATAACACTTAGTTGATTATTACCTTATAAATCAAATAGTTTAAATATTATATATAAATAAATAAATATAAATGAAACACCAATAAAACATAATAATGCGATTTTGTTAACATGCTGTTGTAAATAAGCTATACGCATAACACGCACGCGTTGATATTTTTTGTATGCATATAATGAATACTTTAATACATCTTAAGTCTTCATGTGGAATATTCTAGCAATATCCAACTAAACTCTCAATATATCTAATAAAGAAATAAAAAGATTTTAATAAATGTTATTTATATTCTTAATGAAAATGCTTCAAAATCCACTTTGGCCCAGGCACTCTGAGATGGGACTCGAACCCATGACTTTTAGCAAACCGAACGACTGCTCCAAGCTCTGAAGTGCCCAGGATCTAACAGGACTGTCGAATTTTTCAAGTACTTGTTAGTTTTTCGATGATACAGAGCTTTTTTTTTTCATTTATATTCAGGCAATCCACCCAAACAGCCGAAAGAAATATTTTTTACAAATATTTAAACTTTCGATAAAGATGAAGATTTGTTCTAAATATAAATGCAAAGTTGATCAAATATAATAAAAAATGATATTAAACATCGTAAAAAATATTTTTTTAACGCCAAAATTAAATAGGTGTAAGAACATTCTGTCATTTTTCATTCTATAGTTGGTTGTATTAAAGTTATAGCTCATATAACTTAACTATGCGTGACCATGGCCAATTATGATTCAAAATATAGCTTACGAATTACTTGACTGTTAACGTCATATCTGATTTTTATTTAATTTCGTATTAGTCTATCAGACAAATTAAGAGTATGATTTAATTCGAATTATATTTGTGGGAGATTTTTATAGATAAATTCAGACTAGTTATTAGAAATCCGATTTTATAAATCGCTGTTCTTATATGCTATCTAGCTAAAATAAATCACTTTTTCAGCTTGACTTTCAATGCTACAGCAATTTATTTAATGTTTTACAATATATTACTGTTCCAAAAAACACATGAAGACTTTATAACATTTTTTTTCGGAAACCATTATGTTTATTTATTGTTTTTGATTCTTAAATCAAAAGTAACTACTACGAGTATGATTCCAAAGAAAACACCAACTGTTAGAGAAAACAAAATGCTAAGTAATATGGACTAAGATCCTTTTTGCCTCTAACCAAATGAGGTTCGAACAAATTATAAACTACATTACTAGATGTTTTAAAAATGGAAAATACAACATCTTTCTTGTCCTTTGAAATAATATTTTTCGTATTATACGAACATTTAATACATTGTACCAATGAATATTGTGAAAGTATTAGATCAGCCTCCTAAATTTCAATCCATTATGATATTCTATATAGCGACAGAACAAATGCGACGGGATCACAGGTCGTGGTGTGCGTGAAAGGTGCGGATCGTGGCTCGTTACCAACAGACGCAGCCCCTTACCACTTTACACAATCACTAGGTACGGTCTATACAATACTGTAATGATAATAATAGGTATATGAATGACCGGCCACTTATCTGCAAAAAAAAAAATACTAAAGCGATGTGCAACTGTTTTAACTCAACATAAATTAATTATTTTTTTTATTATATTATTATAATAAGGGTTGTGATGCTTTCCATAGGTTTTAAATAAAAATGTAAATACAAAAATCAATAACCTTTTGAAATAAGTATGGTTTGTTTTCCTTTATTTGAATATGTAAATATTAACAAACGTTTACTTATTATTCAACAGA